GATGCCAAACAGTGGAGAAATTTACAAATTTGAGGTAGAACATTCAAAATAATTATGATAAAATCTTTTTTCAACAAATATGCAGTCAGTTCCTTTTCCTCAACAAATTTAATATACTCATAGAAAATCATTATGGTTTTATTGCCCAGCCCTAATCAAGTAACTAGTTCTAACAGAGACGCCCTAGCTTGCATTAACTACTGTTTGGCCTCCCTCCAAACCAGTCCAGCAGCCCAATTAGGTCTACACATGTTTCTCATTCCTTTTGAGTGATTTATCCTTTATGTGTCTTAGTGTTGGATACACACATCAGCTGTAATCATATGTGGTAGTGTAGCAACAAAGAGCTACTTGAGGCTCGTCTGTCCACCACCATTAGTAAGACACACACATCCGCTGCCTTGCGTCCTCCTTTTCCTAGCACTGGGCTCTACCCCTATTCACACGGCCAGTGACGTCAGGTCGTCCACGACGCCTTTGTGCTCTGCTGCCTGAAAGAGGGTCGTCAGGGGGGTTGTCACATCAGGTTAGAAGAGACCGGAGATTGAGAGCAAGTGAGCAAGGAAAAGGCAGAAGGAGAGCAAGGAGCAGGAAGAGAAACGGGGAGCTGGGGGACTCTGGCAAGCTTTCTTTATGTGAATTGTAATCCATAAAATGGAAATGTAAGGTGGCGGGAACTGAGTTATAACCCAGGGCCCTATTTAGGCCCAACATATTATCTCACTCTCTCTTTCCTGCAGCTCTCACCGTGTCTCTCCTGTGGCTGTGTTAACGGCCACGCAGAGAGCTGTCAAAGAGGAAATTACTGATTGTCCTGCCTGCGCCTTTGTTTGTCTTAACGCTCAGTTGTTTGGAAGTTTGACTGCCTTGTGCAAGGATGAGTCACGAGAGAGCAGGCGCGATTGATTGAGCTTTATGGGTAGACAGAGCTCTATTGTCATCCCCGCACCACAGCTTCCGTCAGGGCTTTCTGCTCACCCTGCAGCCTTCTGAAACAAAGGCTGCCATGTTTTTACAGATGTGCTGTTTGGGCCTTGTTTTTCTGACCTCTCTGTTGCTCCAACACTGACCTACTCCACTGATTGCATTCGCTGTTGGTCAGATACTCGTTTACGCTAATTGTAATTTAATGGGCTATGGTATAGAGTGGTATGGAGTAGAGGCTGTGTTTCAGTAATGACTAATGGGGGAAGGGTCACTCCTCTGTGCTTGTAAGTGGGATCATTACGTAACAGATTTTATTGTTTACCTCTCTTCATATTCTTTCAGTACAGAGGCCATTTTATTGATGTCAGTCGTACATTTTACAGCGCCTTGTGTAGAAACACTCCTGAGTGATTCGTACAGATACTTACAGCATTATATGGAGAGAACGATAAAAAAGGAGGATTGGTAAGAGATCAATGAACAGCAATGCTTAGACAACATAGAACAGATTCAGGGGATAAATATTTATTCAGAGTAATGTCAGTGGCAAAAAGCCATCACCAGGAAGTGGCTGAAAACAGAGGAACCTAAAATGGAGTATTGGGTTGAAGTAATGTATAATATTTTTATTATGGAAAAGTTGACTTTTTCAGTTACACTAGCATCAGATAAATTCAAGAATCTATGGGATAACTGGGTTGACGTTGTAACACAATTGAGAACAGACATTATTTGGTAAAAGCAGTGTATCTGATGCACCCCACCTGGTTCTTGCTACAAATGTTTAAATGTTTACTGTTTACAAGATTGTGTTCGGCATTATCCTGAATCAGGAGTAAAAGGTCTCTACAGGAGAGTGATGGAAATGTGGAGTGATGGAAATGTGGAGGGCAGAGAAAAATCTACTCACCGGTAGTTTACTGAACTTTGTGTTTAGTTGAGAATTTCTGTCTATTCATGCTTTTGCCAAATGTCAATGTGACAATGCTGAATGGAATCAATAAAAAGTTAATGAAAAAAAAAAAAGAAATGCTCCTGAGTGAACAAGCGCAAAACTCTACAGTCCTGCTAGTGGCCCTCTAGAGGCTGCACTGTTCATTACAATGCAATTAAGTATAGAGCCAAAGGCATATTGTTTGATTTAGCAAGTTTGATTTTGGGACACTGCAGAACAAGTAATGGGATAATCAAGTTCGAAGGGGTCCTTCCTGTGGGGAGCATTAGTAAACATTTCCCGGCAATCTGGCCACTAGTTACCTTTTAGACCCGGTTGATCATGCCTGAAATGGCCAGAGACACTGTGGGATGCTGGTGGGTTTTAGTCAATTATACGGTAATCTGCGTTTAAGATTTTGAGACATGTACAACATTTGCCCAAGTGTTGGCTTCAGAACAAAACAAGAACCAATGGGATTCATGCTCTGGTGACTACAAATAGCAGTTCTGTGAGGTTGCACTCCTTTTGAAGTAGCTAATGCGGACATGCTCACAGTGACAGTGCTGCGTGTTGCAACATGTAGATATTACGCAGGTAATATTTACTGGGTTCACAATCTTCTTCACTTCGCCTCACAGCAAGAAGGTCGTGGGTTCAAACCCCGGTTGCCCCGGCCTTTCTGTGTGGAGTTTGCATGTTCTCCCCGTGTCTGCGTGGGTTCTCTCCGGGTGCTCCGGCTTCCTCCCACCATCCAAAGCCATGCAGGCTAGGTTAATTGGTGACCCTAAATTGTCCTTAAGTGTGAGTGTGAGTGGTTGTTTGTCTATGTGTGGCCCTGCGATGGACTGGTGACCTGTCCAGGGTGTACCCCGCCTTGCGCCCAATGTCAGCTGGGATTGGCTCCAGCCCCCCCGCGACCCCTGTACGCAGCATATAAGCGGTTGACAATGGATGGATGGAGGAAAAGGGACTGAAAAAAGATTGTACTTAATTTTACCCATGCGTATTTGTTGAAAAAATATTGTTCCACCTCAGATTTGTGAAGGGATCCACTGTTTGACATCAAGCGTTTGTCATTAAAATGAACACAATTAACCATCTGGTTTCTTTAACTTTCACTCAGGAGCATAAATCGTCCTTTAAACTCGAAGGAAATAATGATTTGACATTTATCGTGATAATTATCGACATTGCGTGATCTCACATTTTTTAGTGTGATAACATTTTTGGCCATATCGCCCAGCCCTAACAGCACCACCCTCAGATCCTGCATGCTGCAAGCATGGTTGAAGGGATTGGTTGCTTGTGGTTTTGTAGTTCTTTTGTGTTTCATGTGCGGGCTGTTTGCTTTTGAATCATTGGTATCTTGTATCTTGAGTCATGAACATGACATTGCTTGGACCGACTCCCCGGCGAGTGAGTTGGCTGAAAGGTGTGAGATATGAAATGGCGTGTTTGCACTTATCCGTCAGCCGTGTCAGCATTCTTGCCATTAGCAGCTTGTGGCCGGTGTCTCCTGCAGAGATAGTATGGCTCTCACAAACAAAACAGATTTTGCAGTCGCCATGGAAACAGGAGATTGCATCACTGGCTGCTCTTTGCCCTCCACTCCCTCTCATTTAAGTTCAAGTTCAGTTCAAGTTATCTTATTAAAGAGGATTCTCAGTTCTGTTGAAGTGAACTATTGCTTTGATTCCCACTTTATGCGTCATTGGGTGTGAACGATGGGTGTAGATGTAAATATGTATGCTGAGAATGAGTTCATCAGATGAACACATGATTAGTCACATGTTTGTATGAATAGAGACTGTAGTAACAACTGGGACAGGGATTAGCAGCTACTGTGTGTTACTGGAGTCAAACCAAAGCAGAGTGACACAGCTGCTGCCAGCTCACAGTGATGTGATGTGACTCAAAGGTCACAGGTTTAAGCTTCTCTGTCCTTGAGCAAGACCCTGAGGCTCAGCCATGTGTCAAGTCTGCAGCACGTACACTATCATGGAGTACAACCTCTGGGGAACATTTGTCTTACTATGTGACTCAAAAGTTCCAAAAGTGACCCGTTAGTGCCTTTCTAACACTGCAGCCGCAGAGTGGGACCCCACCCGGGTGCTTAGGAGGACACAAATAAGATGATACACAAACGCAGCGAACAGATTGACGAGAAGTGAAACAACGGAATAAGAAAAGATGTGATTTATCTGTGTGAGTTTTGTGCCTAAGTGTGTGTGTTATACATAGCAGATATAGATAGTCTTGTTTACTCAAAAAGTGAAGCAGTTCTTTTGTTTTGTTGTTGAGGGATAGTGCCTTAATTCATTTTAGAATCTTTTTAGAATAATTTAATTTAGATTAGGTCAAAGCAAATGTTGAGGTCTTACTTGGGATTTCCAACACCAAGCGAGACATGTTTTTTCAAAAGTCTCTTTATTATTGTAGAGGGGCATTACAGTGAAAGCAAAACAGCCTAAAAAGAAGCCAGCTTCATTTTACTCTATGAGGAATATCAGCACAATCCCTTAGTTTTAAAATCAGAAAGTAGTTTTTTGATGGCAGATTAAGCGTCCAGTAAGGGCATTGTGAAGAGCTGTTCCACGTGATCAACCGGGGCCCCCTGCTTTGGTATACTCATGAAACTGAATTCTGTGCTGAAAAAGAAAGTAACAACAGGCTTTATACTCAGAAAGGGTCTGTAAAGATGCCTCTGCTGCACAGTCCCAGTGGGGTATAAAGGCTTAAATCCTCCAGCCAGACACAGGCCTGTCAAAACAAAACAAAACCAGCTTTCAGAGCTCCGGACAGCCAATCAGGACTCACCTCGGAGGATGATGTCAGTGAGCTGGGGGCGTGATTTACCCTGCTGGATGCAGTGACTGTTGCCTTGGGTGTAGTCCTGTTTGTCCAAAGGGCATCTGTGACGGTCTCCAGAGTTGTAGCTTTGTTTTTCTGTTCATGTGTTGTAGTTTGTCTTGGGCACAGAGGATTGAATTGTTTTTTCACGTCAGTTATAATTTGTAGCATGCCACAGGTTAAAACTGTCCCATTGGCAGCTTTTGAATGTTTAATGTATGACATAAACAAGTCAATTGAGATAACAAAAATGCTAACGTCTGCATACTTTTTTTTCTTTCTTAAGGTCACAGAGCTGAACGAAGCACTGTCCAATGAGGAGAGGAACCTGCTCTCTGTGGCCTATAAGAATGTGGTTGGGGCGAGGCGTTCATCCTGGCGCGTCATCTCCAGCATTGAGCAGAAGACGTCGGCCGACGGTAACGAGAAGAAGATCGAGATGGTGCGGGCCTACCGGGAAAAGATCGAGAAAGAGCTGGAGGCCGTCTGCCAGGACGTGCTCAACCTCCTCGACAACTTCCTGATCAAGAACTGCAACGAAACGCAGCACGAGAGCAAGGTGTTCTACCTTAAGATGAAGGGCGACTACTATCGCTACCTGGCCGAGGTGGCCACGGGGGAGAAGAGAGCCTCGGTGGTGGAGTCCTCTGAGAAGTCCTACAGCGAGGCCCACGAGATCAGCAAGGAGCACATGCAGCCCACCCATCCCATCCGCCTGGGCCTGGCTCTCAATTACTCCGTCTTCTACTACGAGATTCAGAACGCCCCGGAGCAGGCGTGCCACCTGGCCAAGACCGCCTTCGACGACGCCATCGCCGAGCTGGACACCCTCAACGAGGACTCCTACAAAGACTCCACTCTCATCATGCAGCTGCTACGAGACAACTTGACGCTGTGGACGAGCGACCAGCAGGACGACGAGGGAGGCGAGGGCAACAATTAAAGAGTCCAAAACTTCATTCTGCCAAAACAACACAAGCGCGCTCACAAATGATGACAAAATAATAATAATACTTAAAGTTCTTAGAAATAAATTTAAAAAAAGGGAGGGGGGGGGGGGGGTTGGTTGAACATCGGCGGCCAATTTAGCCAATGGTACTAACGCGGCTGCTGTTCTTTATTTTTCAACAAATTAAAAGTGAAAAAAAAAAAAAGTAGGAGGAGGGAAGACAATTTTAGTTTGAGAAATAATCTACGATAAAGAATAAAAAATAAAAAAATGAAACCCCCTCCTTGGTAGCCTCTGCAGCATTTGCCAAAATACCACTTTAGAAGCAAGAGGTACGTCATTCATCACAGTGTGACTATTGGGTAACGATACCTTCACACTGGCAGAGACTGGTCTTATCGCGCAAATGAAGCTGAGCTGTCTTATTGTATTTGGTGAGGGGAGGAGCGTTTAGAAAATGAGCAGCAAGAAAATTGAGTAACCTTGAATGTCACGGCCTTGCTCAGTGAGAGAGGAAGACAGAGAGGGAGTGAGATGGTGGGTGAGAGAGCAGACAGGTTACAGAGATGAAGACGTCGGACTTCATCGCGTAACGTCAAACGTAGCGGCATCTTTCGTTGCAGCACACTTTGATCGTTGAGTGAAAAGCAGGTTGTCTCTGTTATTGAAGATAACATAAAAAGATGTTTTCTGTTTGCTTTGTGTCAGGTATGTGTCCCGCTCAGTCAAACAGTCATACTGTAACTAAAAATACCAATTCATAAAGTAAACGTAGTGCAGCTTGTCCCTCTCATGTGCTGATGTGCTTTATTAAATAAATTAACTCTGTTTTTGGACACCTAATTCTTATCGTCAGTATTGTCGTTACTATAACAACCCCTATTGGCTCCTTATGTTTGTAGGAAACGATTTGAATCACAGAAATCCAGATAGCGAAATCATTTGAATGCAAAATTTAAAAAACATTTTGTGATTGAACATCCACCCATATTCTCCAATTATGCTATCTTCATAACAATCAGTGGGATCTCTGAAACGGCACCTGGAACCACAGACTCGATTAGTGAACTAGGTATCATTTGCGGACAGAGCACATGCAATGTTAAGTGGAATCTCTAAAAGCAGATGTGAGGTTTGTGGATTTACTTTGTCTTCAGTTTCTTCTTGGTCAAGAAATGCACTTGCCTATTATACTGTTTCTTCAGTGTAAGATGATAACTGCTCCAATATTCTCCATAATACAATATTGTGCATGCTGGTGATGTATTTATACAGTAGCTTCAATTTATTAACTTATACTGTAGATGTTATGTATTCATATGAACATGGAATTACTAGACCTTAATCGGATTATTTTCTATTTATTTCTTTTTATTGCGATTGTTAGCGAGCCCTTATTTTAATCTGTGTTTTCTTTACTCCATTTGCTGAAGTACGCTATACCAAAACAGTGATTGTTAACAATAAATTGATCTGTTACGGACATCGCCATGGTGACATGCAATTCTTGGTAAGGGTGAAAAAAAGGGAAGAAAACGTATTGGCATGTGACAGTGGTAGGGAGTGTCTTAACAGTGGATGTGATGGGCATTCACAGCTTTACAGTTTCATGTGTTCTTTAATGTATTAATCCACTGGCAGTGATGCAATAAAATAAAAATATTGTAGTTAAAATAAAATAGTCAAGCATTGCAAAATTCCTCAGGCTACTTTTGGCAACTAAATTAAGTCAAATAAAGTCTCCTAGGAACACAAGGATATGTTTTTTTAGAAGCAAATTGCTATCTAGAGCACCTAATGCTTCTCATAGCTGACTGACTGCATTCAAAATTCTACTTCAAAAAAATGCACAGAAGTATTAACAGCAAAATGTACTTTAAATAACAAAAGTAAAAGTAGGCCATTCATGGAGCAGAATAACCCCTTTCAAAAGGAAAAGGTGATTTTTTTAAAATCTTGTGTGCAAAATATTTAAAGTTGTGCTCATGAATGATCATCTTCTGCAACAGGATTTTAGTTGTGTGACTTTAGGGCCTCATATTATGTACATGCATGTCCTTTATGACATGGGATGTGTCTCAGACTCTCAAGTGTGTCTCTGTAAAAGCATGTTTAATTCTTCCCCCATCAAGCTGGCAGATCTTGTTCTCTAACAGGAATATGAACTGTGACCTGGTCAGGACGCTGCTCCACTAACCCGATAATACAGTCTGTGATAAAGATACCTCAATTGACTTACCTTTTTTGGTCGTCTGTTTTCTCCATTTTGCATTTTGCTTGATGATCCTTTCAGGATCAAGTCATTCCTGTCATGATATCTTTTATGTTGCTCACTGCTTGTCTGGATTCAAGATACAAAATTAAGATGGAGTACAATTTCTGCACAACATGGGGTTTTATAACTCGGTTCGAGAACAAAGATAACGCATAGAATAAATCCCATTTCTACACAAAAGTATTTAATCACAACTTATCTGTTCCCTGAACATCTTAGACTTCTCTACATCTCCTAACATCCAACCTTGTCAGCAACCACAGTAGCAGCGATCCATATTCCCCGGCGCTCTCAGCTTTCATCCTCTCACAACTCCAATGTACTCAGGCCTTTGCCCCTTCCAGTCACTCGCTAAACATCGAAGTCATCGAAACAGCCCTTTCCACCGTTTTTTGCCTCCCCTAGGACTTCTGGGTTCCCAGCGTCGTGTCTGCGTCATTGCCTAAAAAGCTCAGCCTTCCACAGTAGCCCTCTCAGCAGGCCAGGTCGTGTCGAACCCTGCTTCTTCTTCGTCTTTGAGGTTTTATGGAAATTGGCATCCATGATGTTGCATTACTGCCACCTTCATGTTGAATTCTCCCACAGTGCCGTTCATCTTAACCCCTTCATCCATCACCTTTTATCCCCTCATCCCCACATCCCTCGACCCTCTAGGGACAACCAGTCTTTCAAATCCAGTTGTCCTTAAAACAGCGAAAAAACCATTTTCTCCATGGAACACTGTCTCTCATTCTATATACGTTTAACTTTGTCCTCAACCCGTTCTGTTTTAAAGTCATCAATTTTTCTTTCCTTTGTCAATTTCCTGCATGACACAAGGCATGCAATAAATCGCAAAGACCCATTGGCTGTTTTTTCTGTGACGAATAGTCTACTGTTAAGGTTGGTGTGCCCACTTCTTATCCTGCTTTTTCTTACTTGCTTCCCATTTTGTTCCCCACTCTACTCTAATTCCATTCCTGTTGCCACTCTTGGTTTACTTTTATCCACACTATGCCTTACCCCTCTAGTTTCATATTGATTTCAACAATTCCTTTTGCAAATTTATCTGTTCTCTCGTTTCCCAGGATGCTGAATGTGCTGGGACCCTATGAACGTGATATTTTACCCTTTTCTAACTATTCTTGAGTTAGTAAACAAGATTTCATAAGCAGACCCTGATGACTTTTGGTGTATCTGTCTAATGTTTGCCATGGGCTGACACAGATTCACCACATAATTATTTACTGCTGCAAATAACCTGTTCAGTCCATTCTAATGCCATTAACATGTCAAACAGTTCAACTGTATATACATTCAAACAACAGATGTTTTCATGTTAAATCCCACTTTGTAACTGGGCAGCACCTGCCGTCTCACACTCTGTACAAGCTCTTTCTCTTAAGATCTCATTCCTCCACCGACTTCGCTCAGGCTTCACAAACAACCAGAACACATGTATCCCTTTCCTCTTCTCTTGCTTTTTACCCACTCAATTTTCTCTGGCCACTTCCCATGTGTGGTTAGTGTTTCTCATCCCACATTAGCACTGAACGATTAATTGTTTTCAAATCGAAATTGCGATTTGAAAGAACGCAATTAGTTAATCGTGAAGTGAAGACGGCGATTAAAATGTAGGTTAGTTATACAGCTCTCGTACCCGTTTTAAACAGTCATGCAGTTGCAAATTCATTCCGTTGTCATCCTTGTGTGACAGATCTGCTCGCCAATCACAGGCACCATGCGCCTCCTGTTACATTCCTACTCACCAATCAGGGCGTGTACATTTTACAACAACAAACGAAACTGGAGGAAGACATTGGATAAAGGCGCCAGCCAAACCCAAGACCGTGTGGCTGCAGCCTGGAGCCTCCCGTCTCATGCCCTCCCGCCTTGGTGCCTCCCGCCTGGTGCCTCCCGCTAGCTTCTACGTTGCAAAATAAAAGTTTGCGTCTGGTTCGTTCTGTCTTCCTCTTACTTTGGTGTTTTTGAACTGAATAGTTACAGCATTGTTTTAAACGTAGTTTTAAATCCCGCTGGAGAAATTCCTATCCACTGCTGTTACAGTATTAGACGGGCTATAAACTCCTGTTACTTGTAGGCCCTATGCTTGCGTGTATGTCCATGCTATTGACATACAGGCAAGCATATTGATTGAGATTCAGTCAACTTGTGTGTATGTGCCAGCCCAGCAACACACACACACACACACACACACACACACACACACACACTAGAATAAGCAATTATATTTGCAGCGATTTCCCTATTAAGTGTGGAAACAATATAGGATATATAAATAAAAACGAGTCTTGGAAAGAGTATAACATGTTTATTATTTTATTCTTCATAATCACTGTCCTCCCACACATTGGCAGAAATTGCTGCAGGATCCAGGGTGGGGATCTTCAGAAGATATCCCCTGCAGCTCACCTCTAACTCTGTGTAAACCTCTGTGTTTATAAGAAAAACAGAACAAAATCATACTCTTGATCTGCTCTCATACAGTGTTTAGATTTGTTTTTGTTTCAGACAAAGCCTTTTTTGTTTGGTAGGCTGTGCCCTATAAATGTGTTATTTTTTTAAAAAGACACTGATGTGTTCCTTAGGTAAAATCAAAGAACTACTAAAGTCTGTTATCATAAATTGCTATAGGTAACGTTAACGTTATTGTCGAGCTAATATTCACTAACAAATATCTAACTGACACAATAACATCCAGATATCTGCAAAGTATAGCTATCTATGGCCAAATCTTAATCGTGCTGTGCCGCCGTTTTGTCCAACATCAACTCGTTTAGCCTACTCATTGTTGACGCGTTGTTAATTTGTCATTCAATTCAATTCAAATTGCTTTATTGGCATGAATGTAATAACAACATTGCCAAAGCATCATATATACACAACATAAGAACAATCAGCCCCATACATTTCATTAAACAATTAAAGCGTAAAGTAATCAAAGTGTATGTGTGTTTGTGTTTAAAAAAAAAAAGAAAAAGAAAAGAAATATTAAAAATTAAAATAAAATAAATAAATAAAACAGTAAGCGTGTGTGTGTTTAAAAAAATATATATTAAAAATAAAATAAACAAACAAAACAGTAAGCATGTGTGTGTTTGTGTGTGTGTTAAAAAATAAAAATATATTAAAAATAAATAAATAAATAAAACAGTAAGTGTGTGTGTGTGTTTAAAAAAATATATATTAAAAATAAAATAAATAAACAAAACAGTAAGCATGTGTGTGTTTGTGTGTGTGTTAAAAAATAAAAATATATTAAAAATAAAATAAATAAATAAAAAAGTAAGTGTGTGTGTGTGTGTGTGTTAAAAAATAAAAATATATTAAAAATAAAATAAATAAATAAAACAGTAAGCATGTGTGTGTGTTTAAAAAAATATATTAAAAATAAAATAAATAAACAAAACAGTAAGCGTGTGTGTGTTTGTGTATTAAAAAAAAAATATATTTAAAATAAATAAATAAAACAGGAAGCATGTGTGTGTTTGTGTGTGTTTGTTAAAAAATAAAATATATTAAAAATAAAATAAATAAATAAAATAGTAAGTGTGTGTTAAAAAATATATATAAAAAAATAAAATAAATAAATGAAACAGTAACGCGTGTGTATATATTAATAGACAACCCCCCCACCCCCCAACCCATTTTTCTAAATAATTAATTGATTAAAAAATAATAAAAAGAAGAAATAAAGAAAATCAGTATCAAATGTAAAAACAAAACAATTACTAAAATATCAAATGATCTGAAATCTGTACAATTATTTGTTAGTCTGAGGTTCCACTGGTTTTCCTCACTTCATGGCATGAGGAGACATATTTTGCCATTTTGTGTGCTTCAACTACGGATAAGAGCTCTCTGTGAGCCTGTTCCATTACCCTCTGTGCAGGCTAAGTTACATATCCACATGGAGCATTTCAGAATAAGAGCGTCTGATTTTGCTGACTTCAGGACTTCAGTTGTCCTTGATTTTTGTGCTTCTACTATGGTTAAGTAGGTTACGTAGTTGATTTGTTCCTTTTTTGTCTGTTTTAACTTTGTTTATTGTTGATGTATGATCAGGAGTCTGCAAAGCGTGTTTTATTTTGAAAATTGACAAGATTCTCTTTGCCGTTCTGTGTTTGACTTCCTGTCCAGTTAATCTGCCCTGTGCTGCTTGACCCGGCTTCTGTAGAAAATAGACTGGCAGTGAATATTTAACTTTAGCAAAACTTCAATCAGTTCCAGCGCTTTTCTTACCTTTCCTCCTCTGTCTAATAGCTTCACTTTAGCCGCATCTGCCTGACCATCCCCCACATTACCCGTGTTCGGGCAACATATTCTTGCCTGTTACCATGTTGACCTTGCTCAATAACTACAAACTCACGTATATTATTCATCTCTTAGATGCCCTCATGCTACCATCCTCTTCCCTACATACGGTCTCAACACTCTGACTTCCGCATGTCACTAACTTGGAGTTCCTCGGAAGGCCCCATCTAAATTCTTTAGTCATTTCAAATTTCCTTCTGGCCACCTCAGCTACACCATCCGCATCATCCCTCAAGGATGATCCTTCTTGTCACACCTCCTTACATTGGACGAAGCATGCAAGATGCGGCTTAAACTGTGGCACCAGTTCCTCTCCTCCTGGTATCACATCTCCTTCTTTTACCGTGACCACATCACCAAGCCAGAAGGCATCCAGCCCTTCACAGATGCAGCGGCAGGAGGTTCACATTTGAATGGTCGCCGATTCTCATCTCTCACTCCTTCCTCCAGCATCTGCAAAATATACCCAATAATCATAGCAGCTGTTATGGGGGGGGGGGGGGGGGCACGAACGGCCCAGAGGATCATCGCTATCTACTGTGACAACGGCGCTATTGTAGACATCATTAACAAAGGATGGTCACATTGGGTAGTCATAATGCAGACGGTCATCCCGGTTTCGGCCCAGCACCAGTCCATCATCTGAGCATCCCACATCCCAGGTCACAAAAATCTATTGCTGACTCACTTTGTCGCTTCTCTCTCCAGAAATTCAGACCCTCTTTCGACTCAGAACTCTCTGCACAGTTTCCACATATTGGTAAAATGTTAGAATCCATGTTCCTACTTGCTTTCTTTGGCTTTCCATGCTGCTCAGAGTTCACCCCTCAACTACAGTCCATTTCGAAACACACTCATGTCTCCCATGTCCACCTACCCCTTTCTACTAGACTCGTGCCTAAGCACATACAAACCTATAGAAAATAGAGACCAACGAGTCATGTTTCCCCCGAAGACCCTCTGTTCATCTCAGATACAGGTCTTCTCTAGCATGCCTTACCTACAACAATCCGATCAGAAAAGCCCACACAGATCTTTTCATTTAGTTCCTTTAGGGGCTCTATCTGAAGCAGAGCACATGAAGAGATGGCTCCCCAACTCAGATTCTCAATTCCCATGGTTCCCTTCTGTCTTTTCTTCCATCCATTCGTCCATGACCCTGATTTCTCCTCTCATCCCTTAATCCCTTTATCCCTTCATCTCTCTATCTTCACTGCTTCATTCCTCAACCCTCGTACCCATCCCTCCATCCCTTGATTCCTCATCCCTCCCTCTGGACCCTTAATCCATCCTTGCTACATCATTTGAGCTCTCCTTCATTCATAATATACAATAAAATATTCCAGATTCATATGTTTATTGGCCTGGTCTTTATTAGTGAAGAAACAAACAAATGAAAGTGTGTAAAATCATTTGATGGAAATTCTTAATACATCACAAAATGTGAAGATCGCCAAGAATAAATCACATGTACAAGTAATTTGCCCTGGTGTTGTGGCACATAACCTTCAAACATACAAAGTAAGCAAAAGTACCTCAAATAACAGGTGATCCTAATAAAAATATACAATAGAATTTTACAATAAAAATGGATTTTCTAAAGAGAATAGATCAGTGTAAAGTGTTTGAAATGTGGGAGGTACAATATATTGACTAAAGAATGTGCAAATGTGCAATATATATAGAATGTGTGCAATGTGGAAATAATCCAATAATTTGCATTAATGTAACATGCAAGTTAGATGTAATGGGTAGATAATCCACAGCTGAGACTCTCTGGATTCTCTCACCAGTGCAAAATAGTATGGGTCCATCAATATCCAATGTATGTGAAGGGTCGATGAGCCAAAACCACAACTGTTGAACACATTGTGGCGCTAGATGGTAAAAATCAGGGGACCACCAAAGTCAGTGAAATGTGTCCTCTGGGGACCATGAACGTATAAACAAAATTTGAAAGCAATCCATCCAATAGTTGTTGAGTTATTTTAGTCTGATCCAAAGAGGTGGATTGACAAGCAAACAGACTGACAGAAGGACAGTTTTCATCCAAATGCATTATTGGCATGAATGTTAATATAAGAGAATTGCCAAAAGTCTCATGTCTCTAACAGCAAATGCACACAGACTTCACATTTTGAAGGCTTTGATTAGGCTATTGAATTGCTAATGTCAAGCTGACACAAATATAATAGCTATATAATAGCTCATCATGAGTCAGTCCATTAGATTTTTGCATAAAACACAGACAGGACAAGGTCAGCCTTACCTCCATCAGACCTGACCATTTTCACATTACATTTCTACGCAGGTAAGTCAACTGAAATAGCAAAGCAAACTCTAGTCTTTGAGCACAATTAATACATTTCATCAAAGCAGGAATGACTGTGCTGAAAATTGATGCCAATCAAGAGCCACAATTGGACTAATTAACATCTTCACTCACTGAGGGAGAACTAATTATTGAACAGCTGGTGAGTGCTAATTGGTTGAAAGGCAATCAACACTCTCACATATGATTGGACGACCCCCGGGCTAAGGTGGTGTCACCAGCCAATCCTGAGCTGTTACTAAGGAGAAAAAAAATCACACCACCTGCTCCCCTCAGTGCACTGCTCAGAGTCCACACACCCACTGAAGATATCAGAGCTTTTGTCTAGTTAGTTCATCTTTTATGCTCAAAAAGGATCAGTGTGAGTGTTTCGTGAGTATGCGGGGGTCCAGTCAGACACAGCTTTAGAGCTTGCTTTAAATATGGTTGTTAGATTTGAACCATTAAACGTCATTAAAGGGAATGTTAGCATTTAAAATCAAGAGGTAATGCAGTTGTCTTTACATGTGTAATCTAATGCTTTTAGAGCTCCTAAATGTTGAGTTTAATATGCATGGTAAAAAACCTTCCTAATGCACATGATAACTGAGCAAAGGGTGATTTGTGTTGTGCATGTGCCATAGTGAAATGAATCTTGGTGAGAATAATTTATTGCTGCCAAACCCTGGAGTGTAAGCCGCTCTGATCCCCAGCTGTTACTGTTGTTTAACTTTTATCAATGTTTGACATTGTTGCTCCATATTCCCACTGTAGAATCATGTCAGCAGGCTTAATCATTAAACACAGTATATTAGGTCATATCAGGGGTGTAGTGGTAATACTTAAAGAGGGGAAACTTATACAAAACAAACTAAATAAGATTTAGATGATTTTTACCAGTTATAAAGAAGTTACAGAAAATTACAACCATCGGTCAAACCTTATCAAAAGACCTCTCTGACTCTGTCTCTTTTAGCTACCATCACTACCAGTTATCCACATCAGTGTTGAACTCTTAGGCGTGAGAGAATATATAATGTAGCATTACACTGTACACGAAGCAGGCTTTCTCTTGGTTTTGCCAGTTGGAATAATCTCTGTTGTAACAGTGGGTATCTTTATTAACTTGTCAAATGTTGCTGTTGTTTGTTTCAGCAGTAAAAGGACTACAGTTTTTCCAGAGAATCCAGCCGTTGTGTGGTATTTTAGTTCCATCTGAGTTTTGTCCAGATTTCAGATGAAAAATTATGTCTACAGAGCCTGCCTTCTTCAGCCTGTCAGCCTGAGTGCAGGGAGGATGTAGAGATCTGAGAGGAGTCCAATCAGCGGCCTGGTAGCAAACAGCTCTTCACACGAGGCACTTCCCTGGTTTAAGGACACGATAGCTGCTGGATTGATGGGGAATGGCATGAATAATTTAGGCCTGCATTAAACTGGAAGGAAATGGTGACTCATGGAAGAAAAGTTGAAAAGCTAAGTGGTTTAGAGAGTGCTGCCTCTTCAGTGTCTGCTTAGCTTCCATGAATAGTAGAATAGCAGAGCTTCCACTAAGCTCACTGTGTAGCAGATGTACTGAATACATATGGCACTGCATCCAAATTATATAATGCATATATGTCGAATACAATGTTAAAGCAATAAACATATGTTTTGGCAGATGTTTAAAACTCACTACACACACTATATCGTATTATACAGTCAAATGTTGTAGAAATGTCTACAATGACATGAAATGAGATCAAGCTAATGATAGCTGATAAGCAACCTAATAGTCACTACAGGTCTGGGACCACAGAAGGAAAGAAGAATCAGTTCATGTCCGCTATCTACCCTGTGCAACTATACAACTTGCTGGAGGCTCAGTGCATAGCAGAGCGCTCTATAAATAGATCTCCCCTGCAGCTTTGGAGTCAAGAGAAGAGTTAGTATGTGCATTAGTGGGCTGGCATGAATGACTGGAAGTTGACAGGGAGGAAGGAAAAAAAGTGATGAAAACCACCAGCCACTCAGAACCTCACCAGTGCTGCTACATCTTCCCTTTGATCCTGCATGGACTGATGATTAACTGTACGGAGTTAAGCATGAAGAAAAAAATCAAGTTGTATCAGCTTCATATGAGCAGCCGTACAGTGTACTTATTACAACAGGGACCTCCAGCTGATGGGGGTTGGTGATGTCATTTCCACTGGCTTCCCCTTACTCATGTCCTGACATGTGTGTGTGTTTTTTTTTTTTTTTTAACGTATACTGTATGTGTTGGTGTACGTTTCAGATTGGCGAAGTGTCTGAATCTAATGAAAGGGGATATAATAACGGAATCTTTTGAGTTATATAACTCTCGTTACGACATTAATGACGAAAACCTGAGTTCATGTAGAGTGTCAGCTATGCTTCGGTGTGAAACTAGAAAACAGCAGACACAATGCATTCATAACTGTACAGTGTCATGGTATTTTCCTATCATGACACTTTCCTGTATACACACACACACACACACACCTTTGACATTCCAATTCACCCTATTGTCTTGGTTTGTTGTTATGTACCCTGGGGAGAAATGTAATTGTAATTGGTGTGTGTGTGTGTGTAGGGGTGATCCAAGTATCTTAATTACTGTCATTCATTGTAGTGACATAGTAGTGAACATAATAATAGAATTTAACTTAATGTGCAAATGTGCACCAACCACAGACTGTATTATAGTGTGTGTTTATGTTAGACATGTGGCACTCTTGGAGTCCAGCACTCATGGGCCCACAGTTATGCCTACAGGTCTTAGACTAACACTTGAACATAATAATAAAACAATTAAATATTACTGTGTGTTGGACACATACTGAAATTCAAAGAAAGCTAGCTAGCTTACCTTACAGCTAAAACATTAGCACTAACAACTTGCATGAAAGATATCTACATAGACATGATTTAAGTTTGCTGAGTTCAACTACAAAGCAGGCAATGCTCCCATGTGGATTAAGGACTACACTGGGCATGTGCTTACATTACATTACATTTAGCTGATGCTTTTATCCAAAGAGACTTACAGTTGCTATATATGTCAGAGGTCACACGCCTCTGGAGCAACTAGGGGTTAAGTGCCTTGCTCGGGTGCACAATGGGGGATTGAACCCCGGTTTCTCACACCAAAGGCATGTGCCTTATCCACTGTACCATCCACCCCGCTGCCCTGTGCTGAGTGAAACAGGTGATTCATAACATGTACAGTATTTTATTTATTATGTGGTCTTTGAGGCAGATACATCTCAAAGCTGGGCTATAATATAAATGCTTACATTTTCTATAACTGATATGTGGAAGTACAACTTTAGTGAGAAATATGTATGTATATATATGTTGTATGTAAATATCATCTGTAACAATTTATAAGACTAATCAATCAGGTTCAAGATGACAATTTTGATGACTGAATCAACTGTTTAATTTTATCAAGTTAAATAAATAAAACGTTTTTGCTCCAGCTTCTCAAATGCAAAGATTTGCTTGCTCTTCACATTCTCATATCATTATAAAATGAGTACCTGAGGTTTTTTCCTGTTGTTCAAACAAACATTTAAGACATCGTCCTGGGCTTTGGTAAGTTGTGATAGGTTGTGATTAGACTAAAGACATAATTATGATTGATCAATCCACAAGACTAAAAGTCTACAACCACTCTAGCAGCTCTGTGCAGCTGTACTAAATGCTAATTTCTAGTACGTATGCTAACATGCTCAAATTCACAATGTGAACATGCTGATGTTAAGCAGGTATAATGTTCACTATCTTCGTTTAGCTCGTTAGGCTGTCAACATTAACAAATTAGCACTAAACACAAAGTAGAGCTGCTGCTGTTTTGATTTTGCAGGTATTTGGTCATAAACCAAAGTACTGGACATGTTGAGGTTTTAACCTGATGATGGTGCAAACATTGTTTTTGTTCATCCTAGAGATTTTGAATATCTTTAGCTACATTCATAGCAGTCCATGCAATAGCTGTCAAGATATTTAACAAATGATAATCTACTTTTCATGGTAGAGGAAAAGTCAAGGGGATGAAGTCAGTAGGGGACCATAAATGTCTGTACAAAATGTGTTGTAGAGATATTTCAGTCTGGACCAAAGTGGTGGGCTATCAGACAAAATGACAGACTGACATATAAAATAGCTAAAAAGTATCAATAGATCAGCAATAAAATCATTAGTGGTTGCATACCAACAGTATAAGACACTCCCCTTGGCTTCAGTAGACTCTATGGTATTTTCGTTCCCCACTAGAATCCATGCCCATTGCAATTGTTTTAAATGACCTTGTTCAGTCAAGAGTAGAGAGCAAATCTCCATTAATTATGTATCTATCTGGGCATGAAAAATTCATCAGCAACATCCTGTATGATATAAATATGCAATTTTGGGCATAATGACACATTTCATTGCAGATACACAGCAGAAATGGCCCTATTTCTCGTACATATGTCACCCATCTCATAAATCAACTGCCTTATCAGTTTTTTCTCTCCACTATATAAAGTTCAGACCCAGCCCAGTAGACTACATATCTTATATTCTTTATAAAATATTATGGGTTGTATGCATTTAATTTTATATTGACTGGCCTGAAACATAAAGAGACACGGTGCATGGCACAGGGTGGGGACCTGTGTAGGGCGCTTTTCTTAAATGTCAAATTACAAATGTTAAAAGGCAACACTGTTAAAGAATCTTTGGTTGCCTGCATCCCTAATGGGGGCTGACATGTTTTACTTGCTCCCTTTTGCATGAATGACCATCGGATGGATAATTGAGCATAAGATACCACAACATACATAAGTCTCAGCATTTCCATTGAGTTATATCGTCCTGTTTCCAGACACACACAGTAGCTGCTTCTGGACGCCACTTCCATAAAGAGAAAGATGTCACCAGCATGCAAATAAACACAACACACACCAAAAGAAGAGACTCACTATGTTGTTTATTCTGTGTTTGCATGACTGAATTTCTTTTTCCAACAGCAATTACAGATACAACCAGTCTATTTCCAGTCCAGGGAGACCACCGTGTGATTGCTAACAGGCATTGTTCTGCACTTAGAGTGGTGGCGAATACTTTCATGGGACCTCGGTTCTTAAATTTACAAGATCACTACTATTACAGTCTGCTTTGCTGTAGTCTTTAGCGTGTCTGCAGAGGCGGCATGAAGGCGATTTGCCCGATGGAAAGGAAAAAGGTGTATGTGTGTGTAAGTGAGGGCGAAAGGGAAAGAAAGCCGGTGGGGCTAAGCTGAGATTTTCCACATTCTGATGTAGAGTGTAAGAGCAGGCATATGGCACTGGTGCAGATGTGTTTGCACAGTGAACTCAGTTGAGGTTGGCTCATTACCAGAGACAGAGGGGAGAGGGGAGAGAGGGAAGCAAGGGATTGCCCTTGCTTCCCTCTCTCTGGCGTGTGAACAAGCCTGCTTTAGGGAGAGCGATAAGCCGCTTCCTCACCTTTCTAGAAGGACGTTACAGAAATAAAGTGCTTATTTGAATGTGAGTGTGTGTGTGTTTGCGTGGGACACACTGCTTTGCTCTTCTTCCTACTTCTTCACCACGCCACCTTTGTTGTCCACATTGACGGGTATCGTGGTCTCTGAGGACTCGATCGCCTGCGGGGTCAAAGGAGCCTCCACGGTCAGCACCCCTTCAGGAGACAGGGAGGAGGTCACCTTCTCGATGTTAACTGATGAGGGGAGGCTGGAGGGGAGAAGCAGAACACAATTAGGTCTAACAAAATCACTCCAGTACATTTACAAAGAACTCCAGTGTTGATGAAAAAAGCATCACTGAAACATTAATGCCTAAGTCACCCTTGATGGGGTAAGATCAGATCCTAGACGAGCTCAGTTTGTCTGCTCAGTGTGTGCTGTGGCCCCTGGATGGCAGCAGAGTCTTCTGAAGCTCAAAACCCAGACAGAAGAGGGATGAACACTAGGGGGTGGAGGCTGCTGCTGCTGCTGCTGCTGCTGCTGCTTTTCAGAGCATGAAATTCAGCTATCAGCAGCAGCCAGCCCTCCACAGGCTGGATCAACCCCAAACTAAAGAGACTCACGGCAGCAAAGCCACATTAAGAGAATCACAGAAATCTGAAGCCAGCCTGGGAAATGCATTTCGCCTGTGAAAATTCACTGCAAAGCCGCCGTCAAACAGCCACAACAAACCCATTTGAATGAGAAACCTGTTAGTTTTCAAGTGAGTTGTTGACGTATTGCACGGCCAGTAGCTACCTTTCGTCAATTGAACTACAGACTTGTGATAATGATCTTTAAAACATCGAGCTACTCACGTGTATTTCCTGGTGAAGGTTCTGGACACAAAACCATGCTCGTCCTTCCGCTCCTCATGCTTGCCTAAAGATGCAGACAACATACTTACATAAATGTGGCACTAATCTGAAAGATTCATTCAGTTTATAACAAAAAATGTATTATGGTACACCAATCTTGTAGGTATTTGCAAAATGGATATTAAATGGAAATAAAAGCAATAAAGGATAAGGAAGGTGCTTGAGGGAATGACTGCACTATGTGGCAGACAGAATGCATGTTGACTTTGTATTTATTCTACTTATCCCCTACAATTCATAAACATACTTAATGCAAATATTGAAAAAATTAA